AACCTTTCAATTGAATCTTCCACTTTATCCGAGATTCAATGACCCATTCTCTCTGTCCTTTCCCCAAACCACCTTCTAAAATGACTTAATTCCAATAATTAGTCATTAGTGCTTATGCAGCGTAACCTTAAATCTCTGGAAACTAAACAAATCGATTAAATGTGTAAATCAAAAAAAATTGCACAAATGAAACAGAATCAGAAGTAAATGTAAATGTTAGGAATTTTCCCGACTGACTCCACTGGAATCGATCTCTAGATGGAAACTGATCCATCCATGCGTTGGCCAAAGATTGACGACAAAAGAAACAGAATCTCCAAATTCGTAGAAATGTTTCTCAACCTTCGAAATCATCTTCATACATTCTAATAAATCTGATGGTGATTCTCGATTTGGCTGTGTCATTGTTCTTGATTACCCCTTTATTCCAATGGCTCTAATTCACTCCAATTTCTAACAAGCTCGGCTTCGCACTCGCTACCCCATAGCCTACCGCCAAAAGGAAGGAAAGAGAAAAAGCTTCCGAAACACTCCACAGCTGTACTGGACAAAAATGGACGGAAGAAAGAAAAGTGTAAAAAGCAAAATTCTATCGATAGAGACGTAGGGGAAAAAAAGCAAAACGCAAACACCCCTGTTACTTACTGTTAATGTGTTGTACTGTTCGTCATGAGGGAAAAAGGTTGCGTTTCTTCTTCTTCCCACAATTTCAGTGCGTTTCCAAGCCCCGGAGTCCCTAATTACTGGGAAATCAATGTCATGAACCAAAGGGGTTGGAGCTCCGAGCGAATCCCTCAGCCCAATAGCATTACCCGCCGCCGGAATGCCACTGTCGCCGCCTTGACGCCATTTTACGGCAGGACATTGCCTTCCAAGTGGGAAGATGCCGAGAGATGGATTAGTAGCCCCATTATGGGCAATGGGTACAGCAGGAGTTTGCAGTCTCATCTACAGAGAAGACCCAAGTCCAAAAGTGGTCCGATTGGGTCGCCAGGAGTTTCTAATTACTCCAATTACTCACCTGCAATTCCGACGCCGGAGAATCGGGGTTTCGCCACCTCCAAATTAGGCTCTGCTCTTTCCACTGGGGTTTTAGTACCTGATGGGGTTGCTCTCTGCTATGGCGGTAGTAGCATTGAGAGGGGGCAGTCTTATCCAGAGTGTGCCATCCAACGATTAGCTTCTGCACCCAGATGGTCAGATATTCTCGACGAGTCGCCACTGCCAAGCTCTCAAGGTACCTCGTTCTTCTCCCCGTGTTTTCCCGGTAGTCTTGAAGTAATCTGTTTAATTTTGGCCGAAATGAAGTTTATTATCTCCAGTATCAAATGATGTTCTGGTTTGCTTGTATTAATTGTTAATGTCAAGTAATGTACGGTACAGTGAATGATGGAGTTTAGAATCATCTCATACGTCCATATCAGTTTCAGTCGCTATAATGTTGGACTATTAGGTTAGGATTAACTTATCACTTCATGTTCATTCTTAAAGAGTTGCATATTGGAGATCCATTTTGTTGGAGATTGGTGTTTCTTAAGATGTTCTCTGTGGCACTTGAATCATATCCACAGATGAAAAGGATGGTGGTTCCGATGAGGCTATGGATTCGGGTGTTGTTTTGCAACGAAATGTGGCAACCCAAATGAGCCGTGAAGACTTTACGCCTTCATCTCCTCAGGGGAATGGTTCGGTTTCCTCTTCATCCCCTTCCACACACCCATCTGTGAATGGAAAGGAGAGTGACCATTGTTCTAAGCAAGAAGTGAGAGATGTTGAGGTGGACAAGAGAGCCACGGTGATACAGAGATCCAAAGGGCATAAAGACAGATTGACTAAGGAAGACTTCCCACACCTTGGGAACTTGAATGAAAATCCTATGGAAGCTAGAGCTTCTTCTTTGGATATTGCAGAGGCAGCTATTCAAGTTTCCAAGTATGTGTTCCTTTTAACTTCGATTTTTAAAGATTTAATTTCATCCAATTGAATCTTGAAGTTGAAGGCCAACACGAACATAGCACAATGGTTGATACATCAAATTAAATGGAAGTTGAATGAATGTTGAAACTAATGCCCTTTGTTTAATCAGTTGCCTTTTTTTCTTCTTCTTTTTTAAAGATTTGTGTGTAGGTGTTAGACTATTATTCTTGGTGACATTTATTAGGTGTTTTGGTGTTGTTTGGAAATACTTTTTGACTGTTTGATTTTCAAACAAGGTTCTGTTGTTTCTATGGATGGATTTAAGCTTTTTCTGACTCAGTTTTAGTTGTTTGATGGTTGGATTGTAAGTGATCTCTAGCCAGTTTTTCTATTAGCACTTTTCTCCTTAATTTTGAGAGGATGATATTGATTTGACCATTCATTGAAGTCTGAATTTCAATGCGATGAAATTAAAACTTCAAATCACCCAAGCTAACTAGTATATCTAAAAGTTTCAAATTACCCAAACTTTCTTTTTTAGATTGATATTTTTATCTGTCTATCTAAAAGATTTGAAGTATCTGATGACTTGTAAAATCAATTACTCCTAAGACGTCCTTGCCTTGGCCTCAAATGCCCCATTTTTCGAATCTGGATAATGAAAGAAGATATAATTTTGTCCATGACAACAGAATCCAGTCCGGCTTTAGTATATATGAAGATATTGTCATTGCCTGGATTTGTGCACAATGTACTTAAAGATTTTTTAAAAGAAGTTTCCACTAACTTGAAATCTAATGAAGGCTGCAGAGAGAAGAAGCCAAGATAATGGCGTGGGAGAATTTGCAGAAGGCAAAAGCTGAAGCTGCGATTCGCAAACTCGAGGTTAGGACAACTTTTAGCATCAAAGTTTGCAGCTTTCACTCTGTTTTTATTGTAAATAATTGAGAGATAACATCCATTGTCCCAGAATATTTTAAGTTCGTCCTGATCATTTGAATTCAAAATTATCTTTAGATTCATGTATGTATGTTGGTCCTGATCAAAATAGAATGACGATGTACTATAATTACAAGCTATGTGGTTCACTGATGATGAAGATGAACCTTGTTGATTCAGATGAAACTTGAAAGGGCAAGATCATCATCAATGGATAAGATTTTGAAGAAGCTGAGGAAGGCACAGATGAAAGCACACAAAATGAGGAACTCACCTGCAGTTGATCGGAACCAGAGAGTTCGTGGCACGAACAGCTTTTTCCCGTTCCACAGGCACGTGTGGATTGGTTCCCTCAAACGGTGGTTCATCTGCCATGCTTCCTGATTTCTCATGGTAGCTTCCTCGTCTTAGAAACTAAGACTAGCTTAGCTTTGTTGGTTCTGTAGCGGCGAAGATTTTGCACTGTACACTTGTTCTAGAAGAAGAAAAATTATAGCTGGCTTATGATTTCTGCGCAGGAAATATTGATGTAGCTACCCATGCTTTGAATTGCTACCCTCTGTGATATCAGGTTAATTCATAGTTCATATACAGGTAGAAAATGCTAAAAGAGTCCTATCAAGCAATGCCCGAGACAAGCCATACCAATCAAACAATTAGCCAAGCTTTTTTATGCCAAACTAGGAGCAAGCAAACCATCAGATGAGATTAGTTGAAGTGCATACAAATCGGCTGAAAAAATAAAAATAAAAATAAAAAAACAGTGGTTATTTAAYGAAGAATAAGGCCAACAATTAGAATAGACAAGATTTTGAATTTTCGCATTGTTTCAAGGCCTATGTCTCCAGTCTGACCCAGTGACCTTCCAAACACAGGGAATTCAGAATTGAGTTTTATTGTACTTTAGAAAATAATTTACTGACATTGCATATCCAAATTATTTTAAATTAAAATAAAAAGCAGTCTATTGGTGGTCAATCAGCACATTCGAGTGAAAATTCAAACCATTGTTTTTAGATATAGATGAATGTTTTAAACAATTGAGCAAGAGCAGGATTAGGTTTGGCATAGAAAGTTAGATTAGCAATTGTGTTTCATATATGGTTCAAGATCTCACCTCCTTTTATCACATACATTACCTTCAATTATTTTATAAACTGATTTTTGTTTTTACTTATTTTTCTCTCTCTCTTTTTTTATTAAATATGTATAATACATTCATATAATATAACTAATAACTAATGATGTTACATAAGTATATAGATATTAATTATGTATGTGGACGTGAGCCATTATAATGATAAATTATAACCTATTTGAAGAATAATTAAAACATGATCAATTCATTCTAATAATTTTAAAATTTTGTAATTTTCATGATTTTTATCAATATTCACTATTACCATTAATATTTGTGTAAAATAAAACTTTAAAATTTTCATCCAATCAATATTTTCTTCCTGATCTTTATATATATTATATATAAGAGAAAAGAGGTCAACATGAACGGTAATTAATACTATAAAATATCAACTCAACGGCCCAAACATTTTGATCAAAAAAGAATAAGAAAAGGGAACTCAACCCATAAATATTTTTTGGATTATTATTAATTTTGAGCGGACATCTCTGATTATTTGATTCCACATATAGATCAATAATTGCAACTTGTTTTGTTTAATATATTCAGGTGTGGTCCAATATAATTCAGATCAGATTATGCTGAAGATAGCTTCTTTTTTATGCATATATATGAAATATCACAGCCTTCAACTCCAAACAATATCTCCCCATTTTCAAATTATTGCTTTCATTGCTTATTCATTCAATCTTCCATATCTTTTGAAAATCACGTGCACCCATCCATTATTGTTATATGGATTATTCCTTTACATATAAGGTTATTTTATATGTGTTTGTAGTGTGTATATATAATATAAATTGGTTAACGTTTGTCCAGTTTTCCGCAATAGGCATACATACCTTTGCCCAAAAAAGAATTTAAATATCACCTACATAAATAGTAACTCGACTTCGTACAAGTATAATTTAGTTGTAATATAGCATTGGAAGATCACACAAATTTGATACAATGCATTGCATCAATTTTCTAAGCTCAAATTAGAATTTGTTTATGAGTGATTTTTACCTCACGAAATCAATTCACTTTCTATTGATCGTAAATTAGAAAATTTAGCTTGATTTTTAAGGTTTTGGATGAGGATTTTGAAAAATAAATCATACTTAAATATATATTTTTTAAATCATTAATTTTACTATCACTCTCGTACCTATCTTTGATTCTCGCGTATCAATAAAGCTAAACTTAGAAATATGTGAATTATAAATGAACGACACCGTGCTCCTTTCTTGATTTCAAGTAGAAAAGTACATTGAATCAAGCACTTTTCTTTTCTTCTTATTTTCTCTTTTTGGAGAATATTCAATCTCACACTCACAATTAAACCATCACATATGATTATCATCGAGTTTAAACACAAGTAGTAACAAAACTCCTAATTCTCCAAACGGCCAGTGTGAGAAGGAAATGGGTAAAAACTAAAAACCCCGGCGCTACTGAATTTTGACATCGTACTCGTTGTGGAGACGAGTTGTGAGAGGAGGAGAAGCGAAGATTTCGGTTGACCCCAATCGAGTGGAATTAACATAATCTTGGGGACAATGAGCAGGAATTCCAGGCAATAACACCCCAAATAATCTCACCATTCTCAAAAACACTCTTTCCTCGTACTCCTTCCCCCTTCTCCACGCAATTGTGAAGCTTCTCCCTATCTCCAAGCATGCTTGTATTCTCATCAGTATCGCTCCCACCACCGAGAAATAGTTCTTGAATGGCTCCTCTTCCAGAACCTGACGCCCTCAAAATTAAATTAATTAAAAGGCTACGTAATTTCATTATTATAATAATAATGTAATTAATTACCTGCGCAACATAGTTCCAGTCGAAATAGATACATGGGCCGAAGTGCTTGAACATCAAAGCCTTGTCGTCCAGCGGTAATCGAGGGACCATGTCGAACCCATAAACGAATCTGTAGTAACGAATCTTGTACTGCCACAGTGATCTGACCATGAACTCTCCGAATTTGGCGTCCCCCACGCGAGGCTGTCCAAAAGTGTACACTCCCTCTAATCTCTGGAGCAGCAGTTTGTCTCCGTGGAAGGCCAGAATCGCAGGAAATAGGATGGCCAGGGCGCCGCCCAGGCTGTGGCCAGTCACCACGAATCTGCTCCGCTCACTTTGTTGGAGAAGCTCCGTGAGCCTCTCTCGGAGGGTGTAGTAGGCCAAAGGGCGTGCTGGGCCGTGGCGGGCCGGGAGTTGTTTGGGCCAGCCAAGGCTCTTCTGCAGGCCCAGGGCTTTCATGAATCCGCCGTGGATTTTTCCGATGCCTTGGAGCTCGTACCAAGAGATGTCGAAGTCGGAACTCCAGTCGTCGGCGTTGAACGGCTCCGTGCCTCTGAAGGATATGATGATGGTGTCGTGATCCACTGTTCTGTCGCGCATCATGAACGCTTGGGTCGAGCATTTTTCTTGATATTCTAGTAATTAAATAAATACAATTCTCAAACATTCAATTAAATTAAATAAAAAATCAATTCTAAGGTGGAAAAAGAATTTTCTTTAATTAGGTTTAATTTTTACCATTCCAAAAGTTGAAAAACCCCAAGAACTCCATCTGCAGGAAAAAAGATGAAACCAACAAGTTAAATTAAAAATTAGTTAATGATTATAGAAATGATTGGTCATTGGATTGGATTGGATGAAAATTAAAGATATGAACCTTCCAGACATGGTTGACAGTTTGAATAACGTGAGCTTGATTCTCGTACGCCACTTTGGAAGCCATCATGCAGAGAGCTCCGAAGTAGTTGACATCGCCTCGCTTTATGCTTTTGTCCAATGTCACTCTGCTGTCCAAATGACCAATCAACGACAAGTACTCCGCCGATGAACTCTCCGGTATTATCAATTTCACTGCATCATAAATCTTCTTTACTTGTTAGTTCAAACCTTCAATTTCCATCTACCACCTATTCTATTTTAATCTGTGTATTCTTGGATCTTCAAATTTAAAGTTCTAATGAATTTTGAAAATTGTTTTTGTAATTACTTTAATCATTTCCCATTTCATGTGAATATATTTTTCAAATTGGAAGATACAAATCACCAGTATTAAATATTTAGAGTAAGATACACAAAAACATAAACTTTAAAAAATATAAATAACAAGTTGTTAATTTGATCGTGACAGTTAAAAAGCTAAGTATTTTCCTTTTAAGAAAAATACTTTTGCAACTTTTTTCTTTTCCATATATGTTAACTCTAAATTGACAGTGGATATTATTTTTAAAATCTGTTGAAAGTTAATTGAAGTAAAATATATAATTAAAAAAATTGAAAATAGTATTTAATCCTAATTTAAAATATTGGGCTTTTTTAAAATAATCGAAAATATTAAAATATCGTCACATACATGATAGAAGATAGAGATCAATACATCGCGTGTATTATATATATATATATATATATATATATAATATTTGTAGACACGACAGAGTCTGCCCGGATCAGACGCGGAAGATATGATATATAAAACAAACACAAACAATTATTTCCATCTTATAGAAATAAGAAATATATGTGGGTCACATACTTTGCTCAAAGAAAAAAACAAAATGGGTAGAAAAGAAGGTGAAAGCTGAGGAAGTAAAGTTGTAAATAGTTTAAAAATATTCTGAAAGGATATAAATATAGTTTCGAGTAAATGGTTTGTGGAGTTGAAATTTGAAAAAATGAATTAAAAAACGTGGGAATGGGAAGAGAGATCAGAAGAAAATGATGGAAAGGATGGCCGGGGACATACAGCGTAAGATATTGAGGAGGATGCCGGAAAAGCCTTGGTTGGCAGACAAAAAGTTGAGGCAGAACTCGAGGCAGAAGCCTAAGTAAGCGAGCGGAGTGGCGACGAGGCGCAGAAGCTTGAGGATGATGATGGAGAGGAAGATGAAGAATCTTCGCCAGAAATTGTATTCTCTTGCGTGGCTGGAGTCCACGAATTTTCTCTTCTTGAGGTTACTAGAAAACAGGAGGCGCCCCAGATCAAAGAACTTCACTTCTTCCGGCTTCAGAAGCATATAGCTGGTGGAGAAGCCCTTGTTACAGTTACAAGCAGGAGCAGCAGCCATGGCTTTAATTGCCTCGCCTTCTTCTCACTTCTCTCTGCCTCTGCCTCTTTCTTATGGAACTGGCCTCGCCAACTCTATAAATGATTGAGTAAATTATAACATAATGCGCTGTCCGACTACAAACTCAAGAATTAGAAAAGTACTTTCCCCCTCA